ATGCATATAATTGCATATTTGGAATAAAAATTATGCATATATATGCGCATATTTTGATTGAATTTAACTGCATATATTCCGCGCTTTAGTCATCACTGTAGGAATTTGAGCAACAACGATATCATCAAACCGGACGAATGCGAATATGAGCCAATGGTTTTAATTAGATAACTTTGACATTTATGGACGCGTTAAGTGGCTTTAAGACCTGGGGATAGTAAGGAGCTGACTAGGAGCTTATTGGCGGGTCATTTGCTTTCTCTATATCAACATTTTGCCATTTTCAATTTGCCTTTGCCGCAGGACAATTAAAATCGTCTGGATATACTGGATAGTTTTGGATGAACTTGATTCTCCTTTAAAAACTGTCGTCCTCTTTAAGAATGCGTTAGTTGCCCACAGGTCTATCACAGCATCACATTCTCTCCATTCTAGCTAACTAATTTTCGCTAAAATCGCCACTTTCTCACAAAATTGGCGTGAAAAGTTGATCCCAAGCTGAACAACTTCAGCATTCCTTCAGTTTGTTTTGCCTCGGAGTCGCTTATCTGTTGACGGATTTTTATGTTTTAACACGTTTTCGGAAGCTTTCTCTCTAAGAATCTCTTTCGTCTCTTTAAAATGTTTTTGGAATTTTTAAAACACATATGAGGAGTTTGTGAAGGAAAAAGGCCCATTAAATAAGGGTAAATAACTGAACTTTTTCAGTTAGCTCCATCTCGAAACATTTTCATTTTTTAATTTTTTTAAAACTTTTGTAAAGATTTGTGCACCTTTGCATTCAAAGTTAATTTTAAATTTGAATTTAAAAAATCGCGTGTAAATTATAGAAGTTATGAGTGAAACAATGCACGCCTCAATAAATCTGCCTGTGAGTTCTTCGTCAAATAACTCTCTTAGTTGTGAGCTGATGTAAAAATTTTATTGAAGTCATTTAAAGACTGCTTAGTGCTCTTTAAGGGAGTTCTTGAGTTTTCCAATTCGGGTGACGAATGAGGAAGTTATGAGCCAAACAATTGCAAACCTCACTAAATTGACTTTGTGAAGACGGCGAAGTGAGCGTGTTTTAGGGGCGAAAGTTGCTGGAAAGAATTGAATCCGGTTCTTATCAAGTAGATCTAGTTTTCTTTATAATCTCCAATTTTTCTCGGAAAATCTGGCTCTAAGCGTCGAAGTTTGTGCCAAGCGGAGCCAGATCAACATCCTTGAATTGGCTTCTGAGTTTATTTCGCTTCCGAGTCACTTATTTGTGGACGAAATTTTAACATTAAACACACTATTTGAAAATGGTATTTTTCTCTTTAAAGTTCTGATGTAATTTTAAAAAATTGGTTGAGAAATAAAGAATTTCTAAGGGAAAGTGTCTGAGTCTTACTCGAGTGAATTATTGGGAATTTTCAGTTGGCTACACCTCAAAACCTCTTAGTTGTACGATCTGAAACTTTTGTAAGGATTTATCGACCTTTTTATTCAAAGTTAATTTAAAATTTTAAATTTCAAAAATCGCGTGGGAATTAAGGAAGTTATGAGTGAAACAATGCACGCCTCACAAAATCTGGCAAGTTGCAAGCTGATGTAAAAATGTTGTTAAAATCGTTTGAATACTGCTTCGCGCTATTTCAGGTAGTTCTTGAGTGGGGAATGAGGAAGTTATGAGCGAAACAATTACAAGCCTTACTAAATTTACTGTGTGCAGAAAGTGAAGTGAGAGTGTTTTGGGAGCAAATACTGTTAGCAATAATTGAATCAAGTTTTCGTCGAGTGGATTCAGTTTTATTTAACTTCCCCACGATGCATCACAAAATTGGCCTGGAAGCCTCGACGTTTATGCCACCTCAAGCTGGAGGTGGCTTGACTTTCAGGATCCTTGACTTTCAGGAGTTTTCGTTTGCCCCCAAGGCACTTGATTCACATTCACATAAACACATTTTTTAAAAACGTTTTTTCTTCTTTACAGTTTTTTTGGAAGTTACGGAACTAATTTGAGAAAGAAGAAAGTTGCGAGGCAAAAAGTGTCAGACTCCTTAAGTGATTGAATGTTTAAGTTTGAACTAATTAAGCTGTTGTTTGACTAATTAAGTGATTGAATGTTGAATATGCTTTTTATTTGGCTGTGTTTTTCACCTTAATAGTTGTCTGGGGTCTTCCTCTGAAAATGTTATTAAACATTTTTTAAACCGCGTGGAAACTAAAGAAGTTATGAGTAAAACAAACAAAACCTCACTAAATTGACTGGAGTAGAACTTCTTTCTAAGCTAACTCTCTTCGTTGGGTAAATTTGATTGCAGAAGCAAAAAAAGTGGTTTGTCCGAATACAAACTCTATTCTATTTTATTGTCTCTTCAAGCTACTGAGGCTTCTGTGGCAATGCATCCAAAAAATCAGTTGTAAAAGTTATTGGCGTCAACAATTTACGACTGTTTGCTCACTTTTCTTGTTTATGACTTCGCACGGTGGCCAATAAATCCTGGTAAAACTCTCCAAAATTGCAATCGTTTGTTAAAGTCTGCGGTCACAGCAAATAACATTTTCCGACTACAAACGGATCTCATGTTGGGCAATTATTTTGGTAACATGAGATTTTAGTGTCGATTGATTTTACAATTCAGTAGGTGGTTTTGCTAAAGAAAATTGAATTGGTAAGTTGGGGTTATTTGCAAAAAAAACTTCCTTCTTGAAACAAGTTTTACAATCGCTAGGTTTAGTTTCCCAGTGCTCCTTGTGTGTTGATCGCGTTAACATTAAGTGACTCTTGTTCGTCATTTATTCAATGAAGTTTTTCATTATTTTTTACTAATTAACCAGCTAAATTCTTGTGAAGATAAAAATCGTCATCTGGTACCTGAGCAGTTGCCGATGATAATTAAATAATTTATCGAATTAACTGTCAGTCAATCATAGCCGAAGTCCCACTTGACTAAAAACAAGCCCTTGAATACGAGAGCTCATAAAATGAACAAAAATTATTCAGACAGCACTTGAAAAGCTTTTTTTCATAAGCCGGAAAACTACAGATTACTCGAACCGAGAGCTGTGTACTTAAAGAATGTTGGTCTTATCAGCTCTTCGATATTCGCTGCTAGATAGTGTGGCACAAACATGAGCGCTCATCTAAGTTTCTTCAGCAAAAAGTGGCGCAAAATGGTTTAAAAGTTGCTAAGCGCGAGGTAAGAAGTTTAACAATTTAAACACTTGCTTAGTACTTCTTCGACTAGTTTTAACCTGGCGCTAATTTGGAATTCTTGGCCCATAACTGTAAAAATCGCTGTATTTTCTTGAGAGCCCAAATATTACTGATTTTTGCATTGTAAGTTTCATTGTATTTTGAAAGACGAGACATTAAATATCTGATCCAAAGTCAAGGAAGTCAGGTGTTTATGTAGCAAGTGCTTCCATTATTTGGAATTTATAACCTTTTGGTGAAAGATCTTTAGCTTCTTTGGGTTGTTTGCTTACTTTTACTAAATGCTTGAGATTCTCCAAATTTTGACACTCTTACAAAGATTGCCACTCAAATCTCGAGTTTTAGGGCTTTCAGGCTGTCGCGGCAAATATTTTTTTCCTGTCGAAACTCTCTGTAGTCTTTTGCGTAAAAATGCGCAAAAAATAAAATAAAAAACAGCTCCGCCTGATTTTTTTTGCTTTTATACGCCAAAGTATCCGCATTCCAGTGGCGTAATAAGCAGTTCTATAGTCGAACAAGTTTTCGAAAAATAAATTATTATCTAAAGAAGGTTTTCACAGTGCCCTTATTAAACGACAGTTGCCGTAGTTGTGTGTTTAAAAATCTTTCAAAAATTGTAAAAAAATCAGAACGCCTTTAAATTTTCCTCATTTATAGAGCAAGGCACTCTTTTTCCAGTGACGTATAAGGAATTGTCCTAACTGAAGTGGTTTCTGAGAAATTTATTATTGAAGACAAATTTTGAAAGTGTTGTTAGAGTCTAGTGCAATTGAGGGTGTGTAAGTTTGCCAAAAATATTGACCAATAGTGTGATTTGGTTGATGTTTTAGCAATTTGTTGAGAAAAGTTTGCGCTATCCAGGCGTCTTGCAACCGTCTTTTTGGGTGGAAAGATTGTCGAGAAATATTTATCTGAAAATCATTTGGCGTTTCGCTATTGAGAGGCTCATATAGTTCTTTGTTTAGAAATTTGCACAAATTCAGCCGAACTACAAAAATATATATATATAAAATATTTAGCTCTCATAGATCAAAGTATTTGGTTTCCAGTGGCGTTAGCTAACACAGTTCTATTTGAGCAAAATTTTCGAAAAAATTCCTCACTCTTTCCGAAGCAGTAGACAAAAGGAGTTTTTCCAGTAGACCTACAAGCGCTTTTATACCTAAAGTGGTTTTTAAAAAATTTCTTGTCGAACACAAATTTTTGAGATGAGGTTCGCTAACAATTCATGCCCTTGATGTTGTATAATTTTGCAAAAAATCGACAAATAGCGCAATTTAATTGAAATTTCAGGTGCTTGTAGTCAATAATCGGCTCTATCCAGCAGTGTAACAAGCGGCTTTTGCATGTTATCGAATTTGGAGAAATAAATAATTTAAATTTGTGTCGGCAAGCGTTTCGCTGTTTTCAATGCCATATTCACTGCCATATTTAATGAAACATCTTGTGACTGCTGATGAGTTTTGAGTAAAGCATGACTCATTTATTTTAGTCACTTTGCCCAGTGAATTTATTTGAATTCACTCTAGGAAAACCCTTGCAGATACAGAGTGTGGCAACACAGGAGGGTTCATTGATACCGTTTTCTTGAGTTAGTTTGGGTTTCTAATCGGGCAAGTTTTCAAAAAATAAATTATTTAAAGAACGAATTATAAAAGCGCCATTACTAGACGATAGTTGCAGGCGTTTGTGCAAACGTTTCCCTAAAAACAACCAAAAGCCAGAGCGCTTTTACATTTTACGATGTACGAGAAAAGTTCACATTTTCCAGTGGCGCACTAAGAATTTTGGTACTTAAAGCCGATTTCGAGAAATTTATTATTAAAGCAAATTTACAAAAGAACCCATGCAACTGGGAGCGTATGCAATTGGCAAAATTCGACAAATAATGTGATTGAGTTGAAATTTGTTGTCACTTGTAAAGAAGATTTTGCCGTATTTATGAGTCCAACAAGCGTCTTTCTGACTGGATGTATTTTCGAGAAATAAATAATTGAAAATTATCCTTAAAAACGATTCACTATTGAGAGAGCTCATGTGGTCTTCTAGGTAGAAATTCGCATTAAATCAGCTGAAAGACGAATCAGATCGACATTTTTAGCTTTTATAGACCAAAGTATCGGGTTTCTAGTGGCATAACAAGCTCCTTGCTAATCAAGCAATTTTTCGACAAACTGCAGTTTTTCGCAGTTTTCCAAAAATCAGTAAAAAATCCGAAAGCTTTCCCATTTTTTGAGCTGATAGCGAAAAGTACATTTTTTCAGTGGCGTAACAGTCACTCTTGTACCTAGCTGTCTTTGAGAAATTTATTATCGAACGCAAATTTTTGATCTGTTGTTAGCTAATCATTTATGCAATTGGGGTTATACATATTTGCCCAAAATCGACAATTTGAGCTATTTCATTTAAATTGCCGACCCTAAAAGAGAATAATTTGCGCTATTAAGAAGAGTAGCAAGTCATCCGCGGTGAATAGATTTTCCTGAAATAAATAATTGAAGATCAATCTGGAAAGCATTTTGCTACTGTGACGCCGATGTTCCTTTTTATGTAGAAATTCGCATAAAGTCAGCTAAGAGATAAATCCGGTTAAAGTTTTCACCTCTTATAGTCCAAAATACCCGCTTTCCAGTGGAAGAACAAACTCCTTTGTAATCGAGCAAGTTTTCGACAAATAAAATATTTAAAGGAAATTTCCAAAGCGCCATTACTAAACGATAGTCGCAGTTTGTAAAAAATCCCCAAAATTCAGTAAAAAACCGATCGCTTTCACACTTTTCGAGCTTATAGCTAAAACTATTTTTCTTCCAGTGGTGTAACAAGCACTTTTGTACCTAAAGCGGTTTTTGAGAAATTTGATATCCAAGACAACTTTTCGAAATACTGATAGCTGACAATTCATGCACTTGAGATTGTCTAATTTTGCCAAAAATCGATAAATCGTGCTCTTTAATACAAATTTGAAACTCTTGAGAACAAGTTGTTCTATTTAGGCGCGTCTTTCTTGCTGTATAGCTTTTCAAGAAATAAATAATTGAAAATCATTCTACAACGTGTTGACGCCTCTATTGAGAAGGTCATGTAGTTTTCTTTGTAGAAATTTGCATAAAATCAACTAAAAGACAAATGCGCTTTATATTTTTAGCCTTTATAGGCCAGAAGAATCCACTTTGTGTGGCATAACAAGCATTTATCTAGTCGGGCAAAATTTGAAATAAAAATAGTTTTTTAAGGAACGTTTCCAAAGCGCCATTACTAAACGGCAGTCACAGTCGTTTATGCAAAAAAATTCCAAAATCACTTTAAAATCTAAACTCTCTCACACTTTTCGAGCTCATAGAGAAACGTCCATTGTTCCAGTGGCGTAACAAGCGTTTTTGCTACTAAATCGATCTTTGAGAAATGTATTATGGACGACGAATTTTGGAAGAATTGTTAACTAAGAATGCATGTAATTCGGGGTGTCTAAGTTTGCCAAAAATTGACGAATAGTGCGACTTGATTGAGATTTCAGACAATTTTTGAGAATACTTTGCTCTATCGAGCACTGTAAGAAGCATTTTTTTCACTGCATAATTTCTCAAGTAATAAATAATTCAAAATCATGCTGGTACGAGTTTTTCTATTGAGAAGCCCATGTAGTTTTCTGTGCAGAAAACAGCTAAAAAACAGAACCAAGTATCCGCTTTCCAGTGAGGTAACATGCACTCTTCTAATTGGGCACATTTTCTGCAAATAGTTTTTTGAAGAACGTTCCAAAGGCGCTATTGTTAAACAGTAGTTGCAGTCATTTGTTGAAAAAATTACCTAAAAATCAGCCGAAAATCCCAGCGCTTTCAAACACTTCAAATTTACAGAGAAAAATGCCCTATTTTCATATAATAGTTAAAGTGGTTTTTGAAAATTTTTTGAAGTGCGAAAAAAAACGTACAAATGGGCAAATAAATTTGCCAAAAAAATAGTAAAATTGAAATTCAAGACGATTAGCACAAACAAAATTGAAAAAAAATTAATTAGCAGTGCAACAAGCGTTTTTCTCATTAAACAGATGGTTGAGAAATTAATGATTAAACATCAATGTGAAAAGCGTTTTGCTAGTCGTTTGTGCTAAAACTCTCCAAAAATCAGGAAAAATTCCGAGTGCTTGCACACTTTTATACTTACAGGAAAAAAGCCTAACTTTTAGTGACGAGATAAGAATTTTTGCCTCGAGCGGTTAATGGGAAATTTATAATTCAAGACATATTTTGGAAGTGTTGTAAGTAAAACCATTTTTCTTCATGCAATTGGGGCTGTAACAATTTACCAAAAATCAATCAAAAGTGCAATTGAACTGAAAATGTCGGCAATTGTAGAGGGCAGTCGGCTCTATAAAACATATGCAGTTGCTCTCCGAGCACCCTCCTCTGAAGATGTGAAACGTCAGGAAGAAATTCTTATCCATCAACAACCTTAGCAACTCAAAAACTTGTGTTTAAAGCACCTTTTTTAACTACTAATTGCTGTACTGTACTTTTTAGTTTTAGGACTCTCTTCGCCAGTCAAAGCAACACACATGGAAAACAGCTCAACTGTTTCCATTGCCGAATTCTTCCACTGTGACTGTCTTTGTTATCGTCTTTGTTGGGGCTGTCGATGTTAGGCAGAATTTCAACTAATTTACTATCAACAACTAGACTTTAAGCAACGAATCATTGAAATAAATTCCTCAAAAACAAAATGACTGCAAAGAAAGCAAAGCAAGATGAGCTAAGCTTCCCAATGAACAAAAGGCTTCCGTTTCGGATTTACATCGGCTACGCATTGGGGCATGTTCTGAACGATGTGTGCGCTGCCATGTGGTTCAGCTATCTTCTGGTGTTTTTCCATCTGGTAAGTGTTCATTATGGAACCCACTAAAGTGAGGAACCGGAAAAATTGCAGGTCTTGGGATTCAAAAGTGGCGAAGCTGGAGTTCTGCTATTGGTCGGCCAAGTGGCTGATGCAGTGGCAACGCCTTTCATTGGCTACAACTCCGACAAGGACCACCATTGGTGGATCTACCGGTTTGGCAAAAGGAAGATTTGGTACTTCATGGGTTCCATCTGCGTCGTCCTCACGTTTCCCTTCATTTTCTCGCCGTGCATCAGCTGCCAAACCGCGTCCAGACTCAGCCAGATGATATACTACTCGTTCTTCATCGTGTTCTTCCAGTTTGGATGGGCGGCTGTTCAAATCGCCCATATGTCCCTGATGCCGGAAATCACCTCCAATGAGCATCAGCGCACCAAACTGGCAGCAGTGCGCAATGGAGCTACTGTTGTAGCTAGCGTGTTGGTTTACCTAGTCACCTGGGGGGTTCTGCAGATATCCGGACGCAGCGACAAAAAAATCGGCGCTGAGGACGCAGCAAGATTCCAGCACATCGTCTGGTCAGTCATGGTGTTTGGAATCGTATGCTCAATCCTATTTTACATCATGATTAAAGAGCCTCTGGCCACCAAGAGTGGCAACGAAGAAAACTACATCGCCCCCATCAGCTTCAAGAAAATCTTCCTGAATCCCAACTTGTACTTGGTTGGCACCGTCTACATGACTTCCAGGCTTTTCATTAACTTAACCCAAGTCTTCATTAGCCTCTACTTGTCGGAGAGTCTGGATATGGTGGCTAGTTCTTTGGCCCTAGTCCCGCTTGCCATGTACATTGCGAGCTTTGTAGCTTCGATTCCAGTCGGCCCAATAACGAACCTTGCCGGAAGAAAGCTCACGTATGTCATAGGGGCGATTTTGGGAATATGCGGCTGCTTATGGATCCACTGGGGCCAAGGCAATAACTTCAAGACCTACTACATCTTTGTTGTTTCTGCCCTCCTCGGATCGGCCAGCACTATAGTCTTGGTATCCAGTTTGGATATTACGACCAGTTTGATTGGTTCCAAGACAAGCCGCGGGGCTTTTATCTACGGAATAATGAGCTTTGCGGACAAGTTGTCCAATGGCGTGGCGGTGAAGGTTATCCAGGATGTCCACAATGAAGACGACCATGCAGGGTTTTATCAAGATATCATGACTTATGTGTGTGGAGGAGTGTTAATTCTGGGAGCTGCGGTGGTTTCGATGGTCAACAACCGGGAGCGAAAGGAGAGGCATGACATGAGAGGTGAAGCTTTTAGGACCTCCATCAGTACAATAACTTAACGCAGTTTGCAATCTTTTTTGATGAATATACTTTGATGAAGGTTTTTGTGGCAATTTATGGTTTAATTTTTTGGCCAGTATCGTGACCAGGTGGGCTTTTAGGGATTTAGGGAGCACCAAAACATTGTAAATGATGGACCGAAAGTGAAACGGTTTACTCAACTGTACAACCTTCTTAAAAGTTTCTAACTTTGAATCGAGAACAGGAAGCAACTTGCATTTCTCCCAATGTTAAAATGTCGCTTGAATTCCGCCAGGTTCTGATTTTTGGCCCACTTGTGAATGATGAACCAAGAATGAAAATGTTTAATCAACTAAAAGCCGTTGTTTAAAAATTCATAACTTCCAATTTGGAGCAGTTAGCAATTTGAAATTTATACAACCCATGGAATAAACTTGGGGCTATGGACACTCGAAATTTTACAAGGATCCCAAAGGAATGGGAATTTTGCCCGCTCCGTGAATGCTGGGCCGAAAATGAAAATTTTCGCTCAACTGCACGCCGTTCCCCAAAAATATATAACTTCCGATCCAAAGCAGTAAGGGATAGTAAACTCGCATAACTTGTAGAAAACGCTTTTGTCTTCAATTACTTGCAATATTTTGCACAAATACTGCCTACTTTTGATTCTTTTGCAACTCTGTGAGTGACAGACTGAATGTTAAAGTCTCTGCAAACTGCAAACCTTTCTTTAAAAATACATAGCTTCCGAATCAGAACAGGTAAAAACTGGAAATTGGCACAGCCTGTAGCAAAAGGTTGATGCTCAAATTAGTTGAAACTTCACGCGAATCTCAACAATTGTGATTTTCGGACGTCCCGTAAGTGATATATCAAAAATTAAAATTATCACTTTTCCCCCTCTTTAAAAAAAGTCTAACTTTTAACTCAGAACAGGCAGTAACTTGAAACCCGCACAGCCCAAAGAAGACACTTGCAAAAAGCACTGAAAGCCCACAAAAGTTTATTCAAATCACCAAAAATTCTAGAGCGAAAATGAATGCGAGGCCCAACATTAAGCTTTCACACAACTGCACACTGCAAATGGTGCTATTGCCTAAACACTCCCAGAATTTTGCTCAACTCCCGTCTGGTTCTGATTTTTCGACACTTCTTGAATGATGGACCGAAAATCAACAATTTGACTCCTGCCTTTCTTTAAAAATGCCTTTTTTAAAAATGCATAACTTCTAATTTAGAGCAGGTAGCAAATTCAAATGTCTACATCCTATAGAATAAACTTGTGGCGGTGGATGCTGAAAATTTCGCTCACATTCCAAAAGATTTGGTATTTTGGCCGCTTTGTAAATGCTGAACAGAAATGGAAGTTTCCACTCAATGCGGTTGACTCCTCCTCCTTAAAAATTTACAAGTTTTGATTCAGAGCAGTTAGCAAAGGTCACTTCCCAAAGCTGGTCGAAGACACTTGGGGAATAAAACATTACAGTATTGTTCTGAAATTGTGACTGCTTCTGATTTTGGGCCACTCTGTGAATGATGGGACCGAAAATTAAAGCTTTCATTCAACTGCACGCTCTTTTTTAAAAATTCAGAACTTTTCATTCAGAACTGGTAGCCACTTGAAATTGGCACACGGTATATGCAAGTCCTACGGCTGCACTCGGTTAAAAGTTTACTGAAATCCCGTAAGATCGTGAGTTTTGGCCACCTTATGAATGATGGGCCGAGAATTAAAATTTTCACTAAACTGCTCGTCGGGTTTCAAAAATGAATAACTTCCGATCCCCCACCGCTATGATACTGAATTTCACCAACTACGTTGACCATATTCTGTGTTAAAATATTGCAAAATTTCACTCAAATTCCATTAACATATGATTTTTGGTAACTCTGTGAATGCTAGACCCAAAATTAAATTTTTCACTCGTTTGCCCGCCTCTCTTTAAAAAATCGTAATTACAGATGGAGTTCACCTACCGGGCTGATATTCGGACACCCTATAAAAGAGTAGTGGTACTGAGAACACCCAAAATTTAACTCAAATTGTGTAAGATTGTGATGTTTGGCCACCTTACAAATAAAAAATCTAATAAAAAATGTTCGTGCTACTGCACTGCACGCCTTGCTTTAAAAATAACATAACTTGCGACGAAAAGTACGAACCAATTAGAAATTCGTCCACTCTAAAGACAAATATTGCTGCTTACTACCTGCAAAATTTGATTCAAATGCATTACAATTCACCTTGTAATTAATGGAGCTCGATACAATACAGTGAAAATTTCGGTTGAAATCCGCAAGGTTGTGATTTTTGGCCACCTCATGTGAATGATGGAGAAATAATTAAAATGTTTAACCGAATGCCTTTATTAAAAATTCATAACTTCCAATTTAGAGAGAGCAGTTAGCAAATTGAAATTTACATTGTCTATAGAAGAAACTTGGGGCTGTAGACGCCCGAAATTCCACTAGAATCCGAAAAGAATGGGTATTTTGGTCGCATTATGAATGCTGAGTTGAAAATGGCAGTTTTCGCTGAATTGTTCCTAAAAAAAATCTAACTTCCGATCCAATGCAGGTAGCGATAGTAAACTGGCATAACCTGCAGAAACGCTTTTGTGTTCAATTACTTGCAATATTTTGCTCAAATCCTGCCTACTTTTGATTTTTTACCACTCTGTGAGGGATAGACCGAAAGTTCAAGTCTTTAGTCAACTGCAAGCCCGTCTTTAAACATGCATAGCTTCTGATTCAGAACCGGTAGAAACTCAAAATTGGCAGACCCTAAAGCAAATGCTTGATGCTCAATCCAGTTGATATTTCACGCGAATCTCAAAAATGATGATTTTTGTCCGTCCCGTAAGTGATGGATAAGAAATAAAAATTATCACTCTTCCCCCTTCTTTAGAATTTCTAACTTTCAACCCAGAGCAGGCAGTAACTTAATACTCGCACGCCCCATAGCAGACACTTGAAAAAAGCACTGAAAACCCACAAAAGTTTACTTAAATCATCAAAAATTCTAGACCGAAAATTAATGCTAGACCGAACAATAAGCTTTCACCCAACTGCACCCCCTTCCAAAAAAAATTATAACTTTCGATCCAGAGCACTTACTGATGATAAACTCACCAAACTTGTAAATGATGCTTTTACCTAAACACTCCCAGAATTTTGCTCAACTCCTGTCTGGGCTGATTTTTGGCCACTCCGTGAACGATGGACCGAAAATGAACAATTCCACGCAACTTCACGCCTTTCTTTAAAAATTCATAACTTCTAAATTTCAAATTTTTACATCCTATAGAAGCTTGGGACATAGGATGTTCTAAATTTCACTCGAATTCCAAAAGATTAGGTATTTTGGCCGCCTTGTAAATTCTGAACAAAAATGAAAGTTTTAACTCAATGCGGTTGACTCCTCCTCCTTAAAAATTTACAAATTTTGATGCAGAGCAGTTGGCAATTCTCGCCTCCCCAAACTAGTAGAAGACACTTGAGGGATAAAACATCACAGCCTTGTTCTGAAATTCTGGCTGCTTCTGATTTTGAGCCACTCTGTGAAATATAACACCGAAAATTAAAGCCTTCATTCAACTGCACGTTATTTTTAAAAATTCGTAACTTTTCATTCAGAGTCGGTAGCTACTTGAAATTGGCACACCGTACATACATTTAATGTTGAAAAATGTATGGAATCGTGTTGTGTATATGTCGAAAACCTGAGGGTTTTTATTTTAAATCTCTATAGATCTCCTTCAGGCTGTTTTGACACCTTTAGAGAGTTGCTGGAGGGCTTGCTTACAAGGTTGGGGCCTGGTAAGCGAATGGTGATAGTGGGGGACTTTAACGTTCATTTTAATACCAATGAGGCTGCTTGCGAACAGCTTTGTGACCTTCTTGGCAGCTTTGACCTGGTGCAAACAGTGTACGAGCCTACGCGGGGCAAATCCTGTTTGGATAACCTGTTTGTTGGCTCTGGAGTTGAGGTATGCTTCGCTGGAGTGTTTGACCTGGGGATCTCGGATCACATGGGTCAGGTCTTGGAGCTTGCGCTGGAGGGAGTCTTCGGGGGGGTTCAAGTGAGTGGAAAGGTGTGCCGGCCGGTGACGCAGCGTGGTCTGTTTGCGTTCCATAGTAGGCTGGAGGCCGAGTCGTGGAACTTTATCAGCACTGAGGATATGGATGCAAATCAAAAATCCAATAAATTCATGACGATCCCAGAACAAGCCTACTCGCACTCGTTTCCCGAGAGAACTTATAGTGTTAGATCAGATCAGGGAAACATCATCACCTGGTTCAATGAAGACCTGAGAGCCATGCGCGAACAGCGGATGTTTTTAAGATATTTAAGCAAACAGTACAGTCTTGTCAATAACCAGGACTGTAAAAAACTGTCGGGCTGCTTATAGGGATGCAATCAGACAAGCAAAGCGGATCATAGATGCACACATGGGCAGGACAAAGCGTTCTTCTGAAGCAAGTATCTTGTCCCCAGAGGATTTCAACAACTTCTTTTTAGGAATTGCAGAGGATATAGTGGGAGGTATACCGGATGAAGAAGACGGTCCAGGCGCATACTTAACTTCAATTGCTCCACCGCTTGTTCCATTCTGTTTCTCGGACCTTTCAGTGACGTGTGCGATGTTATGGACAGCCCTAAAGCTGAGAATGCTCAAGATATATTTGGTCTTAATATGAAAGTAATAAAAACTGTTAAAAACGTTATCTTAATACCTCTCACAAAACTCATTAACGTATATTTTAAGGCGAATGTCTTCCCGGATGTTCTGAAGAAGGTCATTGTAGTTCCCATACATAAAAAGGGCAGTCTCAATTATCCGGAAAATTACAGACCGATATCCCTGTTACCCATGATTTCGAAAATATTTGAGAAATGTATGGCCCTGCAGTTGGTGAGGTTTTTTGAGGGAAATAATCTTTTCACATCCCGCCAGTTTGGTTTCCGACAGGGAAAGGAAGCCGTCATGGGAATTCTGGACTTGGTCTCTGGGATTGTGAAAGCATTTCATGACGGACAGCATAGCTCGGTGCTCTTCTGCGACCTTAGCAAGGCTTTCGACTGCGTCGACCATGGTATTCTCATGGAGAAGCTTGAAGCATACAATTTTCACCCCAGCAGCATCAAACTAATCCGTTCTTATATTCACAACAGGCGTCAGAGTGTGAGATATGAGGGTATGACATTTGCAGAGCAGTTGGTCAACATTAGAGTTCCTCAGGGTTCTATTTTGGGCCCTATACTTTTTCTGGTGTATGTCAACGACCTGCCAATAAACACTTCACTCTGTATGCTGATGATACAACAATTTCCTTTGTTGGGGACACTCTGGAGTCTGCGTGCGTTGGACCCATGAGCGCGTAAGCCAGAGCTGAGGAATGGTTTGGATCAAATAGGCTACTGCTAAACAGAGGCAAAACAAAGAGAATGATCTTTGCAATGAGAGACGTCGGTGACTGTGGGAACGTTCTGGCGGAGGCAGATTTCCTGAGCGTAACCCTGGACTCTGGTCTGCAGTGGGGACCTCATATCGACCGGGTGGCCAGGACGCTGACCAGGGGCGTCTATGTACTTAGACGCCCCTGGTCTCTCTCATGTCTCAAGACTCTCTTCATGTTCTGAAAACGGCATACTATGCAGTCTTTCATTCGCACATGTCCTATGCGATTTTGGCTTGGGGACATTCGTCGGGTGTGAATAGACTGTTCGCAATTCAGCGGAGAGCAGTGAGAGTCATGGTGGGCATCGGCTACAGAGATTTGTAGGAGGGCCTTTGTTTCTCTTGGAATACTTACGGTTCCATCTTTATATATATTAGAGAACCTACTTTTTGTAAAAAAATCTGGCAATTTCCAATTACATGAAAATACACACCATTATAACACCAGAAATGAAAATAACTTAGAACCTCTGTACTGGCGCCTTCGAAGGTGCCAGGATGGCCCTGGGTATTGGGCAATTACATTTTTCAATGCCCTACCACAACATATGAGGGACTTACCCTATAATATTTTTAGTCAAAAAATCAAGAAGACCCTTATAAGCGAATGTTTTTATTCATTTTCTGAATTTATGGACTTTGTATTTGACTATATTTTAACTATTATAACTGTGTATCGTAATTTTTTATTATTGTAAGCAGGACATCTTGTTTGTTCTTCGTTATATGTATTCTATTTTTAGTATGTATACCTACTTTGTGACTTGTTGACGTGTGTAAATATTTTTTATGTATGAACATGATAATAAATAATTATGATTATGATTATGACTATACAAGTACCACGGCTTAACTCGGTTAAAAGTTTACTGAAATCCCGTAAGATGGTGAGTTTTGGCCACCTTATAAATGATGGGCCGAGAATTAAAATTTTCACTCAACTACACGTCGGTTTTCAAAAATGAATAACTTCCGATCCCCACCCGCTAAGATACTGAATGTCACCAACTAGGTTGGCGATATTTTGTGTTAAAGGTAAGGTTAAGGTTAAGTGGTACCAATTCCGTAAGATTGTGATGTTTGGCCACCTTACGAATAAAGAACCGAAACATTTAGTGTTCATTCAACTCTACGCCTTTCATTTCTGGTCATAACTTCCAAACCAGAGCACAAAACAATCTAAAATGAGCCAGTCATGTCGAAGACACTTGAAGTTAAACCTGGTTCCGATTTTTAGCTACTTTGTGAATGACGGACCAAAAATAACATTTTTCACTGAACTGTATGATTTTTTTAAATTCATAAATGCGGATTCAAAGCTGGTAGCAAGCTGAAATTCTAGACACTTGGTTCCGACTAATTGTAGATACTTGGTACTGAAACTGGTCAAAATTTTAGTCAAATATCTTTAAAATCCGATTATTCGCAACCTTACGAATGATCGACCGACAATTAAAATTTTCACCCAACTGTTCGCCCTCTTTTGGAAATCTCTAAATCCAGATCCACAGCATTCCATCATTTTAACTATGAAAGTTTGTGGTGTTATTCAATAACTCCCTGAGCCCCTTTATGTATTAGCGCAGCCTGAACTTTTTCAGCAAAATGCACTTAGCCTACGAATTACCCCATTTTCCTTTGAAATTCATGCATAGGGAGATTTATTTAAAAAATTCAAATTTATAACTCCAACTAGCTACACACGAAATTGGGCTCAGAATACAGAAGGTTGTTCTTTCCTTAGATCCTCTGAGCTTTACGTCTATAGGGATATGAAAATGTTTTTCATTGTCTGAGATTTATAACGGTTTTGGAAACGGCTGAATGCAACGGTGATGTTTCTTAAAATTGCAGGAGAACGGCTTTTCGGCTCAGAACAGATTGAGAGAAGCTGTTAAAAACGCTCTGAGTTTTCGTCGTTTGTCCAAAGTGACTGCGTGAGTCCATGCAAAGTAGGAAGAAAAACCTATACATTTTTAACATAGAGACACTGTCTCTGAAGGATTTCTGAGTTTATTTGAAAAACCTGAGAACTTCAGAGAAATCTCAATTAAATTTAGAAACATTCCCGAAATTAATACTGTAAAAATATGCTCAAATATTCATGTTTAAAGCTGAAGTTTGATATCAGAAGGGCAAAAATGTTCTCTGATTGGTCAGAAAAGTTTAAAATGACTAAAGGACTTCAAAACGATTAAAAATTAAAATAAAAAAAAAACGATATTAAATTAGTTGAAAACTTTAAGAAAGCAAAGAACGAATTAACTCTGGATTTGAAGCGATTTGGAAGCGAAATATCTAGTCTGGATGTAGAAGTTACCGATGAAACTATTAAAACCTTTAAAGTCTCCATGGTTTTATCAACCAAGCTTGAATGCTTTAAGTGAACCAATAAATATTGAATAAAATGCGACAAATTGTATGTGAAAGGTTTAAGTTAACTTCCAGTAAAAGTTCAGAGGTTTCAGGTTCAGATCAAGTTTATTTTCAAAATTTAGTGGCGACTCAAAAGTCTCTAATTCAACTTCAGAACATCTTAATGGATGAAATTTATTACAAGCTGTTGCTGAAGATCTGGAAAAAATCGAGTCGATAGAAGAGATAAAACATACACCATGAAAGTGTTTTTGCAAATAGTTGAGAGTTTCAACTGAATTCTCAGTGATCTTGGTCAAGCTCTTGTGAAAAAACTGCCAAATAAGCCACATTTTCCACCAAAAAATCTGGAACAACATTAGCAAATATCCTTTCTGAGCAGGAGGTGAAATGCATAGACAAATGAAACAAAACCCGCCTCAAAAACTCATTTAACACCTTAACAATAAAAATCATTGGTTTCTCTCAACAGTCCCCTGGGGCCTTCCGTGTACTCGCAAAGTCCGAACTTCTTCAGCAAAATGCACTTTGTCTTCGGATTGCCCCATTTCCCCTTAAAGCTCATCCATGCGGGCATTTCAGACCGGCCAATGTGATAAAATACTATCGACCCCCATGTCTTCCAAGGCGCTCCAAAGCCTGTTCTATCCGTTATTTTTGGCACTCTGATGAACTCGTGGTCACCCGGAGTGGACCATAATCCATGAGAGCCTTCGGCTGCAAATAAAACTGGATGCCCACCTGCAACCGAAAAAATAATTGTTTTTACACTCTAATTCTTCCACAATGTCTCCACTCGTCTCTACCTTGTAGTCGGATAAATTCTGGATAACTTGGGACTTGGGCGACTCCCTTCCGTTCCATTTTCGCCTGAAATCTGAAGGTGTTGGTGTTCCTTTGGTAGGCGTAATAAGCGCCAGCATCGTGGACTGACAAAAAGAGCTGATCTGGATAGGGGTGCCCAGAAAAAGACAAACTCATGTGCTCCCAGTCGCCAAAGTGGTTGCCCAGTTTCCGATAATGACCGAAGCATTTGCTGAAGATTAAAGGAGCTGGAACTTTGCCTGTAAGCAATCAATAATTAACTGGCCCCCAAAAAAATTACATGGTTTATTACCTAAAAAGCATGAGTCTTTTCCCTCGTTGAACGGATAGAACATCCAGTAAGTGACGTGAAAAGTTGGTAATAAATCGGGGGGAAACTCTGAGGAAGCTGGATTGGAGCAATAGGTGACTACAGCATAAATAGGAACTGGAGGATAGGACTTGGGGCTTTTCCCATACAGGAACGACGTATAGTTCTCCTTCAGGCTGTCTAAAAGCGTGGGAAAGTTGCACAAATTAAAGACCCTCAATGCTGGAACCTACCCAAAGATCTTTTAGGAACCAGAAAAACCTTCTTGGAATTGTACTGGAAAAACCTTGCAGGGCTTTTGCTCCCAGTCAAAACACTGCCATGTTCATCAGCAATATTGGTGTTAACCAGGAATTCTTCCACGTTCGATGGCATGAATTTTTCCTCGGGCGATAACCAAACCAGAGGCGCCCATTGTCTCACCAAACCTTCAACTAACAGGAACATTATGGCATTTACTTAGCTCCGCGGAAGCTTTCTAAAAGGGATTTTCTACTGTTGCACCACAATATGCATACAATAATGGAGTTAATACGTATGGTAAACACAGTTAACCAGCATTTTCATAGTTCTAATTGAAAGCGCCTATTTGAGCCAGGCGAGCGTGAAAAGCTTTCACTCATACGGAATCAGATTTGTTAAAGTTGCAATGTTGCATTTACGAAACTCTCTATATAGGACTTTTTCTCAACAAAATGCTCGTTATAAAATACAAATTGAAATTTATAAAAGTAACTGGAAATTGGGCTCAGCCAGATAGTTTTTTGTTTATGTACACGAGTGAATTTAACAGTTATTTTTCGAAATGTTGCAGTGAGGAGCAGAGCTATTAGCTGAGAAAAAGAGAGAGACTTTACAAAGTACTCTCAGCTTTCATCTTTCTAACTACTACTAAAGTCACTTCGCAAGTTCTGCGGAAATGCTAAGGAAAAAAACATGTAAATCTTCAATATGAAACTGTGTCTCTAAATAATCTCAGAGCTGCCGTGCCATCATCTCCCCACTTGAAATTGTATCTTGCTTTATTCTTTATTAAATAAGGAATGTGTATCTGTGAAGCCTTCTGGACTTCACAAAAAACTCAATTACATTTTGAAACATATTGAAATTCCTTTTAAAGTAGTCATGATTTTATTTATCAAGCCTTAAATGTTTGAAGAAGCAAAATAACAAATTTTAAACAAAATGCTACAAACTGCATGTGAAAATTTGAAAGGAAATTTTAGAGTTTCCAGGTTCAAAAAGACTCTAGACCAAAGTTCGCAAAGAATTTTTGCGAAGTCCGTTTTGATTGTTTGATGCCGCTTCGACTGTTTTGAACTTTGACTTTGAAGTTTCAAGCGGAATTAAATTAATTACAGGCTGCAAATCGCCCTGAAAAGCTTTGAACGGACGATAAAACTGGTTGATATAAAAGCTAAACTAAAAATCCATTAATTAAATGGTGACACAATGGCTTAAAGAGCTGGCAAATTCATAATGAAAATAAAGTTTAAAAAGTGTCATGTTTGAAACCACTTGGATACTTTTTTGTATCCCGACAAATGACCTCGAATTTGCCGTAAAAACCGCAAGAATACTTTCAAGGAAGGAAAACAATGAGGCACTCAAAATAAGCTGAATATAGTGTTTACTGCCAATAAATGACATGAAAGTTAAGAAAGAGGCAAAATAAAGCCGTAGAAAATATTCAAGGGACCAAGAAAGGCCAGAGTGTAGAGATATGGACATTTTATTTGGGTTCTTACGATTCCCTAACTTCCAATCCTGAGCAGGTAGTAACTGTAAAAGTAATTTTGCACACTCTATAGACAAAACTTGCGGTTGAAACTAGTGAGATGTTTCCTCGAATTTCAAACGATCCTGATTTTAGTCGCTGATTTTAGTCTTGAAAATGAGGATTTCTGCCTAGCTGCACCACGTCTTTTAAAAATTCATAACTTCGAGTTCCGAGTAGCTAATAACTTAAAATTAACCCGTCCTATGGAAAAGCCTTGCTTCTGAGCATAGTCCAAATTTCACTCAAATTCGCAAGATACGGATTTTTGGCCACCTTCTGAATGATGGACTGAAAATGAATCTTTGTACTCAATTGCACGACCTTGTTTAAAAATTCTTAAATTCGAACTAAGAGTAGGCAGCAACTTTGGTTTCTTCTATAAGATGTGGGACTTTAGAGACTGCAAACTGTCTAAATGTTATTCAAATTTCTAAAAATCCTGAATTCTTGCAACATTGAGAATGATGGGTGAAAATGAAAACATCCACTCAATTGCACGCCGTTCTTTAAAAATGCCTAACTTTCAGCCCATACGGGATAGTAACTTTATAACACTTTTATAGAAGATACTTGGAACGGTGCACTGTAAAAATTCCGCATAAATCCGTACAAATTAGGATTTTTGGCAATTTTGTAAATGATGAACCAAAGCAAAAAATGTACTTTAAAAAAAGTCGTAACTTTGCATTGAGAGTAGGTAGTAGCTTGAAATTGGCACACCCTATAGAAGAAAACTGCGGCTTAACCTGAGCAAAAATTGACTTGAATTCCATAGTTTCCTGAATTATTTTCGCTCTGTCAATGATGGACTAAAAATGCAAGTTTTCGCTCAAGTGCAGGCCGGTGTTTGAAAATGTGTAACTTTCACTTCAGAGCAGGCAGTAACGTAAAATTCCCACACCTTGTAGATGAAGATTGTGGCTATAACAGCTCAATATCTCACTTAAATCTCATTAGCTGCTAATTTTTGGCAATCTTGTGAATGATGGACCGAAAATGATATTTATCACTCAACTGCATACCCTTCTTTAAAAATTCCTAAATTCCATTCAAGAGCAAGTAGTGCATTGATGAACTGAACTTGCGCACCGTATAGAAAATGCTTGTGACTGAAAACGCTGAAAATTTCCCTTAAATCTCTGGAAACTATGATTTTTGGCCACCTAGTGAATAATTGACGGAAAATGAAGATGTCTATCCAACTGCACTCTGTTCTCTAAAAATTCCTAACTTCCAGTTTAGATCAGACAGTAACTTGAAATTGGCACATCTGGTAGAAGAGAAAGAAACTAGCAGATCAAGCAAGTGGACATTTTACTTAAATACACAACCATAGTAATTTTTTTCACTTAAATGCTTACTCTCCTCTGAAAACTTCTAACTTCCGATCTAGAGCGGGTAGTATCTCGAAATTCGAAATTCATACAACTTATAGAAGAAACTTGCTGCTCAAATCAGTCAAAATTATAATTGAATTACAAACAATCGTAATTTTTTGCGCCCTGTGAATGATGATTCAAAAATTAAAATTTCACCCACATTTTCTTCTTTGAAAATTCCAAACTTTTGTTTGGGCGCTCGTAGACTCATTGAATTGGCCCACAATACAGCAAAACTTGCAGCTTGACCCAGTCAAAATTTAATTAGAATCCTAGACGATTGTGACTTTGGGCCGCCGTGTGAATGATGGACCGAAAATGAAAATTTTCAATCAAATCACAGTGTGTTTTAAAAATCCACAACTGTCGATCCAGTGCAAATAGTAAATTGAAATTCCCACATCTCATAGAACGAACTTGTGGCTCAAACCAGTCAAAACGTTGCTTAAATCCCAAAAAATTGGGATGTTTTCACCGCCTTGAGAATGGTAAACCGAAAATAACAATTTCAACCAACTGCACGCCCTACTTTGAAAATTCCTAACTTTCGATTCAGAACAGGTAGTAACTTTGCACACCCTATAGAAAAAGCTTGCCGCTCAAACCGGTCAAAAGTTTGCTCAAATATCAAACTATGGTGATATTTTCCGCATTGAGAATTAAGGATCGAAAATGAAAGTTTTTACTCAACTACACGCTCTTCTTCGAAAATTTCTAACTTCCGATCCAGAGCAGGTAGTAACTTGAAATTTGCACACCCTATAGAAGAATAATAGAAACTGGCGGATCAGACTAGTCGAAATTTCACTCGAATCCGACAAGAAAATGATTTTTTGATGTGTTGTCGATGGACCGAAAATGAAAATTTTCAATCAACTGCATGCTCTTCTTTGAAAAATTAATTGCTTTCAATCAAAAGTAAGAAATAAGTTGTAACTTGCACATGTTACTTGCACATAAGTTGTAATAGAAGGCGCTCGGAGCCGGAAACCCGCATAATTTCACTGGAATCACGGTAAATTCTGATTTTTGGCAACCTTTTGAATGATGGAACAAAAATGAAGATTTTTACCCAACTGCACCAAGTTTTTTAAGAATTTGTAATTTAGTACCACCCAAAATTGAATTAATTTCAATCACCCGGCGCTTAGTAGGCAATTTGAAAATATTCTTTGTCCAGAAGTATATTGAGTAATTGTTGAAAGTTACAAAACTAGCGCTTCCAATGCGTTCTCCCATTACAAAGCAAAATTGACCCTGAAGCCTTCTAATTTAAAGCTCAACGTGCAATCTGGTCTAAGTCGACCACCCATTAATAAATTTTGCAATTATCTAGGTTAATAATTAAATTAAAATTCCGATCAAAACACTGCACCTGGCTGAATGGCTGAGGAATTTCAACTAATTTAAACACTCTTTCTTTACCAGTAGCATTTTAGGGGTTCTTACCTTTATCTACATCAACTCGATGGCCACTTAGCACCGTAACTGGTAAGACGTAGAAAAAAATCACCGAAATTCCTCCGCAAAGCATGGCGCCCAACCAGACATGCTTATGTTGTTGTTTTTTGTGTTAACCAACAGGCAAAAAACAGCAATTAACCGAGAAATGGCATACTATTAACCTTGTTACCAATTAACCGACATTCGGCTGGTTCGCGCGATCAACAGCAACAGATCAATGAATTAGAAGCTTTCACTTCTTGCTGCTGAAGTGGGTTTACAGTTGAAGCAGCAGAAGGAGATTGCATTCGGATTGGTGCAGGAATGCACCGAGAATCTACTTCTAAGTGGGAAAGTTGTTTTGTTTACAATGGTTTACCTCATTAGGAGCAAATGAGAGGCAATCTGACCGTGCCCTTGCAGGTCAGTGCCATCGTGTTAGCCAATTGTTGCCCAACAGAAAACACCTGCCTTAACATAAAAGGTCATTCGATAGGCTGAAGAAACCGTGTTTATTAAAATTAGGCCTAATCTTTTGCACGAGGATTTTTACATTAGGCAACGTTACAAGGTCCTATCAGCGAAAAATGCTTAGTAATATTTACATTGGCTAATTCTCCATTAGTCTCTCGGATGCTCCAGATTTCCGTCTGGTTTGCATCATTTCATCAACTCTCCCGATGGAACGCTTGTTTGGTTACTCTCCTGCCCAGCTCTCCTTGATCATATCACTGGCCTTCTCCCCAATCATGAAAATCACTGCGTTTGTATGTCCGGCAATCACATTGGGCATTATCGAGCCATCCACAACTCGCAAATTCTGGATTCCATGGACTCTCAACTGGTCATCCACGACTGCAGTTGGGTCGCTTTTCGGCCCCATTTTGCATGTGCCCACATGGTGGCCAAGAGTGGCGCAAAGCTGGCGCAACGAACAGCGCCAGTACTCGTCCGAGTTAAGGGCGAGATGCTCGCACTTCGGGAAAGGCAGCTCGCTCAGCGATGTGTCGTAGCGCTTGAAGGGAGCTGACTGGGCAATGGAAACTGCCTGAAAGCATGTTGGTTACTTAGTTGTGTTTGCTGCAATTTTTCTGGAGAAGAAAGTGTCTTAACTTTTATTAGAATTAGAGAAACTCTTCATTTTATTTCCGCAAAATGTCTGTTTGTTAAGGGAAAGTTGTCCAACAAATTGGCAAGGTGCCCAGAAGAACTTAACAACTGATCTTCTAAAGAGTTCCTAACAACTGCGCGCTCTTCTTCGAAAATTCTTAACTTCAAATCCGGAGCAGGTAACAACTTGAAATTCGCGTACCCCATAGAAGACGCTTGGGTATTAAAACCATGAGAATTTCATTTAAATTGCAATAAATATTGATTTTTGCAACCGTGTTAATGATGGACCAAAAAAGCAAATTTTCACTGAACTGCACCCCAACTTTGAAAAATCCTAACTTCCGATCCAGGCCAGGCAGTAACTTGAAATTTGCACACCCTAGCACATACTAGGCTCTGAAAACTCGCTGAAAATTATTTTAATCACTCCAAACACTGATTGATGGCAACCCTGTGAAGGATGGACCGAAAATGAAAAATGATCACCCAAATGCGCACTGTTCTTTAAAATCGTAACTTAAATTAAAAATCGTCACTTCTTAATAAAAATAGTTACAAGTCAAAAAATCTTAACTTTCGACGGGACGCAACTAATAACTTGATATTCGCACAGCCCCTCTAGAATGCCTGTGTCTGAATAGTAGCAGAATTTAATTTAAATCGTGCTAGACACTAATTTATAGCAACCGTATGAATGATGAATGAAATTAAAAATGTTCACCCAACTGAAAGCCCTTCTTGAAAAAATTCTAACTTTCAATACAGAGCTATAGTGAGTAATCTGAAGTTCTCACACCATCGAGAAGGCAGTTGCACCTAAAACTTTAAATTTCTAAAACATCGGAAAATCCCGATTTTTGGCGATCGTGTGAATGCAGGACCGAAAAAAAGTTTACCAAACTGCGCGCTTCTCCTTATAACTCGAAAATTTCACAATTCCAACAAGCCTAGTCAGCCAAAATTCGGGCATTTTTCCAAAAATCTCGCAAAATCCTGATTTTTTGCAAACGTTATGAATAGATAGATCGAAAATAAAAGTTTTCATTCAACTGCACCCCCACGTTTAAAAATTCGTAAATTCCAGTCTGAAGCAGCTAATAACCTCAAATTTCCACTTATTATAGAGAACACCTCACATCTGAACACCTTTATAATTTCATTTAAATCGCGATAAATACGGATTGATGGCAACCGTGTGAATGATGGCCCGAAAATGAAAAATATACTCCCAACTGCATGCCCTTTTTAAAAATTCGTAACTTCATACGCAGTACAAGTAGTACCTTGAAATTCGCACGCCCTGTAGAATACAGCTGGCACTGAAAACGTTCCAAATTTCCTTTAAATGCTGGTAAATAGTGATTTATGGCAACCGTGCAAGTTCAAGGAAAACGTTTACCCAAATGCCCGCCCTTATTCGGTTAAAAATTCGTAACATTCTCTAAAGAGCAGGAAGTAACTTTTTTTTTATCTGCTTTTTATCTGCTATACAAGAAGCATGGGGCTGAAAACGCTCAAAATTTTCCTGAAATCCCACAAGATCGTGATTTTTGCCACCTTGTGACCAATGAACCAAAAATTATAATACTCGCCCAACAACGCGCTCTTTTTTAAAAATTCTTAACTTCCTATGCAAAATAGACAGTGACATAAATTTGGCGCACCTTATAGCAAAAGCTTCAAGCTAAAATGTTGCCAAATTTCATTCAAATCCCAAAAGATAGTGATTTTTGCCACTTTGTGAATGATGGATCCAAAATGAAAATGTTCACTCAACTGCACTCTCTTCTTTAAAAATTCATAACTGCCAATTGAGAGCAGGTAGCAACTTGAAATTCTCCCACCCTAGAAGAGGTACTTGAGACTGAAAACTTTCCAAATTTCACTCGAATCTCTCAAAACCGTGATTTTTGGCAACATTTTGAAGGATGGACCAAAAATTATGAGTTCCACTCAACTGCACGCCGCACAAATCCTTCCAGTAGAGTTTGAGACTGGTAAAAACTCAATATATTCCAACCAGCATTCATCAAAATGGCACTAAAGTCAGCCAAAAATACAGCACTTACCATCTTGACGCCCTCCACCATGGTTTCCAGATCGTCTTCTTCCGAGAAATAGTTGGGATCAATCAGGGGCCAGTGAAAGGAATTGTTGTCCTTCAGGTATACCCTTCCACGGCTTTTGGGCCTCAACAGCACTGGAACTATGCTGAATGAAGGTCTACTAATCAAAGGCTGATAGACTTTCGTAAAGGTGCTCTGGGGAATGCCTGGGAAGTCCCCCGTTTTCACTCAAAGGCTCTATTGATGAAGTCTTTTTACCTAGCAGGGCGCGGAAGCCTCCAAAAACATCCCCATTGAGTCCTCCAGCCCCTAGAACCAGCTCTATGTCTGGATAGTCGTCATTTCGGTCTTTGGCTAGTTTGGTCTTAACAAAGGCTAGGGCCTCAGCTCCTCCAGGAATCGTGTACGGTCCTTTCCCTCGGGCTAGGAAATTGTAGATATCCACTGGATTTTGCACGGTTAGGTCTGAAACTGCTCAGAAAAACGGGCTTAATTGTACTCAACTTTAATTGTACTCCTACTGGAGCGTATTGAAATAGCTCTGCCCACCTGTAATGCTTTCGTTGACCAGAAATGGGACAGCAGACATTGCCATGTGGTCCTGCAAGTTGAAGCCTACAGGAAGATCCGATAGGACTGCGATCCCTTTGCTCTCCAAGTGCTCCTTTGGTCCAACACCACTCAGCATCAGCAGCTGAGCGCTGTTAATGGTGCCTGCGCTCAAAATTACCTCTTTTCGCACCTTGACCCGGAAGTTCTTCTTGTTCCTCCTGAACTCAACTCCGAAAGCTCGTTTGGATCGGGGGTCAATGAGGATTTTAGTCGCTCGGCTTTCTTTGGATATGTGCAGGTTGGTCCGATGGGCCACTGGGCGCAGGAAGGCCTTAGCTGCACTGCATCTGCGACCTCCCTTCATGGTAGCCTGGACTCTGGAAAATCCTAGAAGGATCCAGACGTCAAAAAGTGACGGTTTTTTTCTCAAAGGAGTAGCAAAGCTACCTAGTCCGTATTCTCCATTAGGGTCGTTGTTTCTGTATCCTAATTGTTGGCCAGCTTCGATGAAAAGCTTCACCAGAGGACTTTCAAATCCAGCGTTTTCCACGTGCAAATCGCCAGACTTTGCGTGGTAACTTTCGTCAATGTCTCTGCACAGGGTGCAGTTTTCCGACTTCAGGAAGTAGTAGAGAACATCTTTGTAGCCCCAGCCTTTAATAATCAGGAAACGTTTTTATATAGCAAAGTTGAAGAAGATGAGACTGATTTCGTATCTAAACTAGCTGACCTTTATTGCCCATCGCCTCCCACATATCAAAGTCTCTCCGATTTCCTCTGGTGTACAACATAAAGTTGATAATGCTGGTGCCTCCCAGTCCTTTTCCTCTTGGTAGATGGCAACGTTGGTCCACCAGCCCCAAGCAGGCCGTTGTCAGCTTCTGGCTTTTGTAGCCCCAATTGTAGCCGGTTATTGAGAGAATGGGCGCTGAAAGAGGCACGTCGGTCAGGAAGATTTCGTCTTTGCCCGCCTCCAAGAGCAGCACTGACCACGAGGGGTTTTCTGTGAGGCGATTGGCCACTACAGAACCTCCGGAACCTGAAATCCAATTAGGTCAATCACACAAATCAACATAATTATCAAAAGCTTTTTGCAGGTTGCGCAAGAATTTGGGATGTACAGGGTGTCCCTCAATAAGTGTAGAATATATATACAAGGTGTCCCATCTGGGCCTCAGATCAATTTTCTACAGGGCGGCAGGTGGAAAAATACAAAAAACTGCCGAGTTCGGCATGCTCCTAGTTAGACAGAAATGAGATTCTTTGGATCTCAACACCAAAAGTTATAGATAAGCCAAATGGCCCGAAACGGTTTTCGGCCATCTGTTATATTTACAGGGTGGTCACAAAAAAATCTACTTTTTAAAAAACGATTTTTTTCTGCCCTTGGACCGATTTTGAGATTATGTTGAAGCTAAAACTTCATAGACAATTTAATACGAAAATCATCATATCATCAATCAGAGTAGCATAAAAAAATACTCAAATCAGAATTGCCCCCTAAATCTGTAATTCTGGGATATTTTCATCAAAGTGAAGTTCACTTCAGTCAAAAAATTCGCTTATTCAGCCCCGCATATTTAGAATTTTTCTGAAGTCGGCTGCGAAGCTTCAGCTTCAAGATGAGCCTTAGATTTTGCAATGGCGCCAAAAGAATTTTTTTATGACTGCAGTACCAAAAAGTTAATTTTCTTAAGACCGCTCTGTAAACAGACACGGCCTCCTTCCCCACGGCTTTTTTTCTATGGCCTCCTGTTACTGGCCTTTAAATGAGGCTTTAAATGATTAAATTCACCTTAATCTTGAATGCTTTGAAAACACTACTGTTCATGTGCTTCATTTCTATGCAATTTGGGGCAAGTTACTATTGAAATCCGGCGAAAATCTGGTTTCAATCCACTATAACTAGAATATCGGTTGAATAAACCTGCCGGTTTCTTGCTAAACCATACGTAATATACATTTAGCTAGTAATTTGAAAACCCGCTCAAACGCAATGTTTTACGGTTATTGAAATAAATACTTAAAAAAACAAATATCTTGCCTGCTCCGATGACCACAAAGTCGTACTCCTCCAAAACATCCTCATTTTCGCCTATGCTGTTCTCCTCAGCTCCGAACAGGCTTCTGAAGAAACCATTGAACTGACTTTGGCACAAATGCACAGAAACAATGAGCAAAACCGCGGAAAAAAGCGCATATAACTCCATCGCGCCGCAATTTTCCACACAGAACTGCCAAGAGAAAAACCGACTCTTTTCATTAAAATCGACTATTGCTCCATCACCGGTTCAGCCTTGCTATCTCAAGATCTTCGGCTTTTGGTATTAATTCGGAATTTACCGAGTCGCACATAAGTTGCGGTGCAACGTGCGTCCAATCAACCAAATATTGGTACCATTGATTTGCTTTCTATCCTTGCCACTATTAGTAAATACTGAAAAGGACAATAAATCAGCAGCAGTTGCAATCAGCGCAAATTGCAAGTCAAGGATCTAGGAGTTAGTAGATGGGTAATAAGTGGACGATCAATTAAAACTAATTTTTTTGCCCCACCTGGTAACTCTTTCATTGCCAGTTTTAGGATTCGAAGACCAAATGTAGACCCTGGTACATCGCAGTTTAACTTTAACCCCTAGCCAGTTGCCTAGGAAACGGGGCGCCTCAGCTAGTAGATGGGCGCGCATGCCAGAACACGCCCCATTAATTACCAGGGTCGTTAGACAAGGTCTTCGAAAACCAGTTGTGTCTTAGTAAATACTCTCTAAGAAGATAAGCAGCCAAAAATCCAGCTATCCATATTCGATATCGCTGCCGATGCGGTTCTTATCGCATCAGTTGAGTGCAAAGGATCCTCTTGCGAAATTGATTGTAAATTAGCTTGAAACTGAAGGTCTGATAAATATATCCTAGTGACTACACATGTTCTATTTGTTTTATTCAGTATCTTATCGGGACACGCTATGCTAAGGCTGGGAATTTCAATCCGAAATTGTGCTTTGAAATGAGAAATTAATAGGCTTCAGAAAAAAGGGTGCTGAACAGAATGAAAATGCGCCCAAATCCGCTCAGTCCAGGCTGTTCTAGAACAAACAGGATGGATTGAGGACAATTAACTATTGTTCGGTTGCGTTAACCGTCGATTGAAAACCCGGCCTTAACTGATAAGGTGATAATTAATCAACCTGTTTTAGTTGAGTTTCAGCAGCTTTTTAGTAATATGAGTATGATTCAAGCGAAATAAATCGAGCATGTAACATTACTAATTGAATAAGATGATTAGGCTAGTTCTAGGTGCGGTGCTGCTCAGTTCTCTCTTTCGTATAGTGTTTCTTCAAGAGGCTGAAAGTGAAGCCCAGATAGAAGAGAGACTAGGTAAGATCACTGAAAGTCTAGGTACGTTACTAACGTTCTATCTAATCCAGCTCAGTTTAGCAGTTCAGTCATTACTGCAAAATCTAGTTGAAAATGCAAGTTTTGAAAATGTGTTTTAGTTTCCTATCAGCGCTGCAGAACGGACAGCGACTGCAGAGCGAATTCATTTTGCTATGATAATGATAACACCAGAGTCGGGCTGTGTAAATGCCAGGCTGGTTATGAGCTCTTGTTCAGAAACAGGACGGATTATTCCTGCCTCAAACGTGAGTAACCATCCTTCGATTAGGAATGTTTCTTTGGAAGCTGGGATGTTTTTTTATTTCAATGTTGAACTCAAGAAGCTCAAATGCAAAAGACTAACTTTGCCTTTTTACACTAAGAAACACTAAGAAAGTCTTATTTATTGAACCTTCTCGGTAGAGCGAGATTGAGACAATTTCCATACCACGAATGTTAGGCCCATTTTCATCAAGCGATCTTAAACCAGTTTAACGTCTGAAACTCAGTTTGACGCGCGAAACGGATTTTACCAGAACCTTAAACTTAGTTTGTGCTTAAACGCATTTAAAGAAACGAACTGGTCGATTTTGGGCGTTTATAGCTTTAAACGCCGTTTAAAGACTTGATCTAACCTCACTGTGTAAAGAATTGTTGTTGTTGTCGGTCGACCGAAAAATAATAAAATAAAAATGGCACGTAGGCCAGCTTATAACTTAATTTTCGAAAAAGTCTACGAATATTTTATTGTTACTTATGTACTTTGTCTGTCCTGTCTGTAATTGTGTCGCCGATAAGCCAACTTATCGGTGCTTTGCGGTTTTATGTCACAGAATGCATGCAAATTTCTGCTAGAGATTTTAAGGGTTTCAGCACAACTACATCACATCCAATTGT